CGGAAGCACTACTTCTGTCACCACTCATTTTCCATCAGATGTTCCTGCCACCATTGTTTTATTGTCCTCAGACCTAGGGACTCCTTGGCGAAGTCTGCTCCGGAGAGTAGGCATAACAATGGCCTCCAGCTCCCCAAGGCACCCAAGCCACACACACCTTCTGGAAGTAATACTGCCTCCTTGTGGCCCTTCAGGACACTACCACTTAACAAAACACATTTCACTCTAGGTATGTATAGAGTCCAACTCCATCTATCAGCCTTATAAACCAGAAGAATGAATAACAGTCAAGAGTTTCTCACTGTGCAAAAGTACATTGAAAAAAAAAAGTCAACCATCAGTTTTCCCTCACCTTTCAACACTAAGCTATAGAACAGTAGCTAGTAAATATGAACTTTCTGGAGAAACATCAGCAGTAATACATGATTGGAAGAAACATGCATGTTAACGGTCTAGACAACGTAAGACAAAATGGAATTGCTGGATTTCTGTAGCTTGTAAGAAGAATGTAAAGCAACTTATGAAAATACTGGGATTTTTTCTAAGTCTCTGAACTGACTGCTGGCTCCAAGCTTCTATCTGCCTGAAGCCCTTGGACTGTAAGTGAAAAGGAGAAAATGACAAAGGCTACTCTGCTTAAGACTGAGGTGTCAGAGAATTCTTCCTTTCATAGAGTCTGCATAGAACATACCAGAGACGCTTGGAAGAGAATATTGTCTTACATGGAAGAAGTGACTACCATCAGGTACCAACCAATCAGAACAGGAAAGTTTAAAAATTTCAAACTCTCAGTCTTTAAGATCGCAGAACTCGTGTGAAACAGAAGCCCAAAAGTCAGTCAACAGAAAAACAGCAGACTCTTATTAAGACATACACAGCAACGACTTGGCTTAAAATTCACTTCCCAAGCTTTCAATTACTATAAAGGAACATATATTTAGAATGACAAACAGATTAGAAGTTGGGAAGAGGAAATACCACAAGTTCCTGATACTTCCTAAAATAGAGCACACACACCCCCTTGAGAATAAGGTACCTTGTGAAGTGCATACATTTGATCTGCTCCCTCTCTGCCTCATGCCCAGAAGAATACACAAAAAGAGGGATCTTTGAAACTTTTACACTTACGTAAATGACTACTGCACTGAAATCAAAGATGACAATGCTAACTAAATCTCCCAGAAATCACTACAGTTTACTGAAAAGGGGTGTATTTCTCATGCTTCCTACTTGAGCTTCAGGCAGACAAATGAAAGGCAACTGATTTACAGCAACATTTTGAGGTATGTTAACTGTGACAGACTTGATAAGATCAAGGGCCAGAGCCACACCGGAACACTCAGATAAAAGACTCCTGGCTAAGAATTTTGACCATAAATTGGCCAAGATTATTTCTCAAATGTGTTACTTATTTATCGGAGGTAGTGTCGGTGCTAGACGTTAACAGGGAACAAGCAGAGCTGGCCCTGGCCTCCTGGAGCCTTCAGCCCACTGAAGAATTCTTCCACCTTCAGCCTTTTTCCCTCAGCTTGTAAACCTCCACACGTGCAGCACTCCAAGCCCATCACAACTTGGCAGCCTCCCCTTCTCTATCACTGGCACAGCAGTGGCAGCCACTGGTCCCCCAGACGCTTGGTACTTGTACCCTACCTGAGCCACTCTTCCCCTGTTCTCCAAAATCAAAGGTTGCTTCAGCGCTCAGCTCAAACTTTTCTAAGCCAGGAAGGCTTCTCTGGCCACTGACCTTCAAGAAAGAGTACTCACCCTGGCCCTGTCTACCTCAGTCACCTTGTTTTATTATTTTTCCACTCCTGACCACTATCTGATATTATCTTCTTTATTGCTCCCTTGCTTATTTATCCATCTTATCAATTCAAATGGCAATCCATTATAGCTAAATCTGTTGATCCTGTGTACTGCTGAATCTCAGTCCCCAGAAAATCACCTGGAATATTAAGAAAAATGAACACAAACAGTACTAGCAGTTTTGTATTAATATCACAATGTCAGGTCCCAAATAACAAAGAAAAAAGAGAACACCCTAAATGCTAAAAGATTGGATCAGGTTTTTAAAAACATTTAAAAAATATTATTTTTATTTTATGTGTATGAGTGTATTGCCTGCATGTATGTGAGCGCACCCGTGTCATGCAATGCCACAGAGGTCAGAAGAGGGCTTTGAAGTCCCCAGGAACTGGAGTTAAGGACGGTTCGTAGCCGCCATGTGGGTGCTGCTGGGAATCGAACCCAAGTCCTCTGCAAGAGCAGTCAGTGCTCTTAATCGCTGAGCCATCTCTCCAGCCCCTAAAAACATTTTTTTAAAAGATCATCACAGCTTACAGCTCTCAAAGAAAAAAATAAGCAAACTGGCAATGCTAAGTCTCTGTGTGCTGTAATATCAGACTTCGGGGTGCTGAGGACTCAACTGCCTGCACATGCACGGCCTCTGAAGGTTATGGTTTTAAAATCACTCTAAGAGATGCCAGGGACAGATATTTTTAAAGTATCCTTCCCAAACTAAAAAGAGTTGGCAGTAATCCCTTCCCAAATTAAAAAGGTGTGAAAGCAAGATACATTAAATTATGAGATATTGGTGATCATTTACAGAAAGCACAGATTTTAGCCTAATAGCAAGGCAAGTTTATGAAACAGAAAACTGCCCTGTCTTCGAGTGAATCAAAAGTATAAACCTTCACTGCTTGTTCAAATACATTTAAATTCAACATTTTTCTTCACAGATGATTTGTTTTTTAGACAGGGTCTCACTATGTAGCCCTGGCTGCCCTGAAACTTGCTACGTAAACCATGTTGTCCTCCAATTCATTGAGTTTCTCCTGCCTCTGCCTCCAGAGTGCTGGGATTAAAGGCATGCACCACCACACCCAGCCTCACAGATTATGTTTTAAATGGCACATTTGTTTCTGTTGTTCAAGCCAAGGGCCATGCTGTCAGGGGAATATGACTTTAGATCCTGACCATCACAGCTCAGACTTCACAGCAAAGATGCCAGAAGTCTCTATGGGTCACTCTGTAGTTATAAAAGCAAAGCACTGGGCAGAGCAGGCACTAATTTCCTGGAATCTGAAGAAGCAACTTACTGCTGCTGCCTTTGGGCCCTGGGAAGGACTGAAATCCACTTAAAAACCTCAACACCAGAAAGTGCTTTACAACAACTTTATAGGAAAATATCAGAAACTAAACCTACAAATCTCCCAGTAAGGAGAAGCTTAAATAAATTATGGTTCATCCCTAATGGAGTTTTCAGCCACTCTGGTAAAGTGAGCCAGCTTTCTGAGGGAACTGATAGAGACAGTTGTAATTTAGGGCTCTGAAGGGGGAAGGCCAGTGCAGAAAAGGGTATACACTGGTAAGAAGACCAAAAGAACAATATGTTTATAGAACATTGGGCTATGTTTGCAGAAACAGACAAGAGCCACGAGGAAGTCTGGTTCTGGGGAGGAGAACTGGGTGTTGTAGGGCATGGTGGGAGAGAATACTTTCTACTTTGGGACTTTTTATACCTATTGAATTGTCTCCAGTGTGAACAGCCTGGTTCTGGGGAGGAGAACTGGGTGTTGTAGGGCATGGTGGGAGAGAGTACTTTCTACTTTGGGACTTTTTATACCTATTGAATTGTCTCCAGTGTGAACAGACTGCCCATCCCACAAACTCATACACTTGACATCTTCACATAATCATTGTTCTACTACCAACATCAACCTCATGAATGGCTCTCCAGAAGCAAAAGTTTAAAAAAAAAAAAAATCACAGAAGTTTTGTTCCATTTCACAGCACAGTCCCTGATTCTGACGCCCCAGAAGAGAATCCAAGGCTCCACTAATTAGAACTGCGCACTTCTAATCTCATTTATTACAAAGCCAAATAGACGCTGGCAGAGTTCAGTTCTTGGAGGGCAAAAAGCTGCTCAGTGCTCCTTAAAAACATATCTCATATTCAGATTGAACTTATAGTTCCCTAATGAAGTCTCCAAATGAACACTGTTTCCACTTGGCTATAAGACAAAGGCAAAAGAAACAAATGGCACAATCTTGTGTTTTTAAAAGTACAGACTATACTTGTTTCCTGTCTCTCCTAGGCTTAGACAGGGAGCCTCTGCACCTAGTGAATAAGATTTCAGATCTTCAACAAATTTATCAGGTAAGAGGGGAAAGCATCCTTTGCAATAAACAAATGCTTTGATTTTTCCTTTTAGGGGAAAGGGAGCTTTGGTTTAAATATCACTTTGGCACCACTTTTGAATCCCCGACCAAATAATACCAAGCCACATTAATTGGACTGCATGCAAATACTTTTTGTTGAATTAAAGGCTAATATGAAACTGAAGACAAACACATTGGAAGACAAGCTTTAAACTGAAACTTCTGTTTAAATATGTATATTAATAGAGCATATAAAGAAAATGCAAATAACTTATTTCCATATAGACGTCATTCAATAACAGCGCGCAGGTTCTGTCAGTATCTGACTGCATTAAACACATACAAAAAGGAACACAAAGATAACCCAATTGCAAATAAAAGACCTCGTGTGTTTCGGTAGCTGAGGTGGGGGTCAGAACCACATCAAGCTCTCTAAGTTCACAACACTTGCTATGCAGTTTTCTGTGGTTCTGAATTCATGATCTCAGCTTTGTGCTTTGAGACAACATATCGGGAAGGGCACCAATCACGAAGCCTAACTTTCCTCATCTACACTTTAACTTGGGGTTTCATAAGTCTTTAGATACAGACACATAGACTATACAGATCAGTCCAATGCACCACAAATACAGAAAGGACGAGAAACTACTTTCATGCAGAGCTGAGGTGCAGAGGCACGAAATCAGCCGGCAGGTCAGAGCTCCAAGGGGAGGTAAAGGTCCTTCCCACCCCCCAGGTAGGCTCTGGCCTGGGAGCGCAACAGCCCAGAAGTTCAGGGCTGCAGAGTGACCCACGGCGCGCAAGACGGCGCGAATCGAGCAGCACTGCCCGGTCACTCACCCTCGACGCGACCCAAAGCGAGGGCCGGGCCGGCGGGGACGCGCCCCCCGGACGCGCTCCGGACTCCCGCGCCGCGCCCCGCGGCCACG